CCCATACATACATGCATACATATCACAATACCCAACTTAGGAACTCACTTGTGTGTATGTATAGGTGGATGAGATATATGTAAATTAGTGAATACACATATACACACATACACATACATATATAGATATCATTGTGTGTGTGTGGTGTATGAATTAGTAATTCACATATGTGTATTGAATATGCAGGTGTTGGTAACTGATTCTGTCTAAATTTGGTGTGTGTAGTGTGCGTGAACCTAGACTAATTATTTTTAACATGTGTGTATCTGAGTTGCTAGTGTGAGTGTGTGTGTGTGCGCACGCGCATGTATGGCATTGTGTGCATGATATACACAATTGCACATATACAAACACACAAATCAATCAGGTGCATACACACGCACATTACCAGCTCAGGCACATACACCATACACCCCAAAAGTTAGACACAGATCACTAATTCATATATCATGCACACAATGCCATACACACACACACACACACACACACACACACACAATAATTAGTCTAGGTTCACAGCAAAATAGTTACAGCAGAGATGATCACCTACCAACAGTCAATGTAGAGGTGATGAAACAACAGCTAGAGAAGGTGGATATATATAAGTCAGCAGGACCAGATGAAGTCCATCTGAGAGTGCTGAATGAACTAGCCAAAGTCATTGCAGGACCACTGGTGAGGCTGTTTGGGAATTGGATGCAGGGGTGGCAGTGGATATAGTTTTCCTAGACTTCAGGAAGGCTTTTGATACTGTCTCTCACCCCATTCTCATTAGGAAGCTGGGGGACTGTGGTGCAGATACCCATACAGTCCAATGGGTCGCCAACTGGTTAGAGAGTTGCACCCAGAGGGTGGTAGTGGATGGGTCCTTCTCGACCTGGAAGGATGTGGGAAGTGGGGTCCCACAGGGCTCGGTCCTTGGGCCTGCACTGTTCAATATCTTCATCAGTGATTTGGACGAGGGGGTGCAAAGCACCCTGTTCAAGTTTGCTGATGACACTAAGATGT